AGCAGTGAGAATTGTATTTGCACAATATTGGAAAAATGAAGATACTCCTACAGGTGAAAAGATAATTAGAAAAATCTTAAAGATTGTGCAGAGATGGATAGATTGACATTATAAATAAAAGACAAGGAACAAACAGAATATTTTATAACATGGGACTTGCTTTATCAGTGGCTGGATAAAAGAGGTAGAAGTTAGAAGATAACAGATTACTGTTATGTAAAAGTAAATGATGAAAGGTTATTATTATATATAAGCGAATATTACCATTATCATCATCATTATTTTCACTAGCATAATTATGATGATTCTGTATAAGAAAATGGACTCAGCACTACACTGTTAATTAAGCACTTATGTATATTAAAGGGAAAAAAGTATAATTTTTTAAAAGACCAGATAGCCAGAAAGGCATACATTTTCTGTTGCACCATTTTTGTTTTGCAAACCCCAAACAGGAAATCCCTACAACCCAAAACCGCAATTAAATGAAGAGAAAAGAGAAGATGGGCCAAAAAAAGGTAACCAGCTTCCTAGTTTCACCTTTCTTTCCACTTCCTACGCATTTCTCTTTTTTCTGGAATACCAACTGCAAGACCAGGAAACAAGTCGAGTTGCCGACTCCTTAAAACCTCTCAACGTGAAAATAGAAACCGAAACTCATTTGGGGGGGGAGGAGAATAAGAGGAAGGATTTTCCTCCTCCCCCCTAAAAAAAGGCAGAAAAATGATCGTTTACCTGGATATAAGGTAGCTTTTAATGGCGCTGATGATCACGGAAGAGTCGTTCAGTTGCTGGGAAAAAAGAGAATTAGTGGTTAAGCATCAATAAAGCAGAATGCAAAACCTTTTTCTCACACTAAGCTCAGCTTTAATGTTTTGTTTTGATCTACACCGTCGTGGGTTAAATTTATTTAAACGCGGCCTGATGAAATGTGCGGGGAGGGGAAGCTGCCAACGTGAAATCATTCGGACAACCTTTCTTTTCTGTGAAGTGCTGCCAATAGCAGAAGTGTCAAATGAACTAGAAAAAAAAAACCAACCGAAGTACAAAGAGCTTCAAGAATGAATCTCAACCCAACGACTTTGCTTCCTGCAAAGGTTTCTCTACCTTTGCCTGTCCTTTATCCCTTATGGGAGGGGCGACCCCCTCCCAGCCTTACTCCCAAGTCACCCCCTTAACAACATAAATTTTAGTGGGTTGTAATTCAAGGACTATCTGTAGAATATCTTTTCTCCAGAGATTATGGGTGTTCCATCCTTGGAGGCCTTTAAGAGGAGCCTGGATTTGATCAGGATGGTATAAATGTCTCCTGCCTTGAACAGGCAAGGGTTGGACTAGAAGACCTCCAAGGTCCCTTCCAACTCTGTTATTCTGTTAAAATAATCTGACTAAAGACCAGGCAAGCCCTTTGTGCCCCAAAAAAAAAACACAATATATTTACCTCTATCAGATGGGGGGGGGGGAATAAATCTGAAATCAATATAATCATATTTATTTGGTTGAGGTCAGCAAAATTGAAAACCGAAACAAACCAGGGTGAAGTAAATAAACACAACAGATAAAAAAACAGAGGATTCAAAAATTCGATTACAGAATTAAAAGTGGTTTACATGCACCAATATTTTCGTAGATATTTCTAACAACTTTCAGAGGATCTGTAAACGCCACCTTCAGTGTACACACACACACATACTTACCTGCTCTCCCATCGTGTAAACAAGGGCAAGAGCTGCTCCATACTATGCATTTTGTTATTATGGACGCTATTATTTACTACTACTAGTAGCAGTACCGTAATATCTTTTAACACTATTGTAAACTGAGATAATTCCTGTCTATTGCTGGTACGTGAACGTAATAAAAGTTTACTTATTTAAAGAGAGATTGGCCAATTTTGAAACTGACCAGAGCACTTTCCGTATCGATGAGAAGAATGGGGACCTTTCTGTAGGAGGAAAATTTGATTTCTTTTCTCATGACTGGGTTCACCTCCACAACGTCGTACGGCAGCCGGTGGTAATCCAGGAAAGCTCGGACTTTGCTGCAGAATGGGCAGGTTTTATACTGGTAGAGCGTCAGATGGAGATGGCTATCCGGCAGGATCTAGAAGGGAATTCAAGATATATCCAGCTTCGGGCTATTTGCTGGCAAGCCTTCTCCCCAGAATGCAAACACAACAGCCCAGGAGAGAGAAAAAACACCACCACCACCACACAACCACCCAAGTTGCTCCTTCCCTATTCCAACCTCAAAAACCTCTTTTTGCAAATTCTGTCAGCTAAGCTCTGATTAGCTGGCATTAAGAGTTTCTCGCCTGCTCCAGAGGGTTAACGTCATTGCTCAGAGGATCATGGGTTGCCCTCTCCCCTCTTTGGAAGAGCTTTATAGCTCCCGCTGCCTTAAGAAAGCTCAAAACATTCTCAAAGATCCATCTCATCTTAGGAACCCTTTTTTTGAACTATTACCATCTGGCAGACGGTATAGGACAATAACAAAAACAAGGACAAATAGGCTGAAAAACAGCTTCTACCCCAGGCCAGTAACTCTATTGAATTCTACTGTATATTGTATTGTTAATGCAATATCAGGGGTTTTCCATTCAAATCAAATCAAACCTTTATTGTCAATACACAATATGTATACAATGAAATTAAGCGAGCCTCCCTTGGTGCAGCCCCCCACCCCAAACACAAAATACATCTCAATAACTGCAAAAGAATCCCTAAAAAACCCAAATAAGTAATATAACACACATTCCCACATACCAGGGGAAACTTGACCACTTTAAGACTTGTGGACTTCAACTCCCAGAATTCCTCCCCCTCCATTCATGTTAGCTCAGGAATTCTGGGAATTGAAGTCCACCAGTCTTAAAACTTGCCAAGTTTGAAGACCCTTGCCTATATGTAGGATGTGTCTGTGTTTTATTTTTTTTTATTATTATTACCTTTATTGTCAAGAGTAGAACATGTGTACAATGAGATTGGCTGAGCCTCCCTTCGTGCACACACATCCCCAACACATACAATGTATAATGTACACTGAAGGTGGCGTTTAATTTTGTCCCAGATGCAATGACAATAAACTTAATTTTTTTTTAAAGCCCTGTGGACTTCAACTCCCAGAATTCCTCCGCTTGCATGCATGCATGGCAGTTCTGGGAGTTGAAGTCCAGGCAGCTTAAAGAGGCCGGCTTGAGATTCAACCTTGAGGCAAGGCTCAGCAAAAAAAATTCAATTAAAATTAAATTGCATTTGGAGGGGAGGGTCTTCAGGAACAAAGCCACTAGTGGCGGCTGCTTTGGGGGGGGGGGCCTGGGGGTCCAGGGGGGCCAAGGCCCCCCCCCGCCCGTTCCCAGGAGGGGCCCCCGCCCCCCGGGCCCCCCCGCGCTCCCCCCCCCCCCCCCCCGTTGGGTGTTGCAATGGTTGCATTTGCAAAATTGCAACGATCCCAGTGCAGAGCAGAGGTTTGCACATCTGGCTTCACACACACACACACAGAGTCCTCTTCCTGGCTTTTACCCCGTCCCGGTGTTGGTCGGCCAGCTGTTCCTCGGCTCCGAAGCGGCGGTGCATAATCCGGCCGGTGCCCACCGCGGCTCCCAGTGCGAAGGCGGCCCCCAGCAAGGCCCTGGAGGAAGGCCAGCTCCAGCCTCGCCCGGGGCTCCCGGAGGAGGAGGAGAAGCCGGACCGGGGCATCCACCACGCGTTCCTCCTTCCCAGGCCGGCCCAGCCGCTGCAAGCAACCCGCGCCAACGCCATCTTTCGCCTTTTGCAAAAAGGGAGCGGGCGGGCGCCAGGGGAAACCCGGCTGGGTGGGGGGGAGCTTTGAAAATCAATGCAAAACCCCGGTTGCGTTTAGAGAGATCCCTTTCCCCGCAAGGCGCATGCGGGAAAGCGGCCGGCCCCGGGGAATTGTAACCCGACACGCATTTGCATTCTCACGTGCAGCGGCTCTTGCGCTGGAGGGTCGATCCTTTTTTTTGGGGGGGGGGGTTAATGCAAAGCGTGCTCTGCAAGAGCCCCCTCCCTTCGCTAAAGCGACGCTTCCCCGTTTTGCACGGGTGTGTGTGCGTGCGTGCGTGCGTGCGTGCTGAGCCAGGCTGTCGTGTGAACGCGGGCCCGCTTTGGTATCGAGGGCTTGCCTGGGGTCGGAGCTTTGCCCAGCGAGCGGGTTTGCAAGGAGGAAGCCTCTAAGGGAGAAGCTCCCTCCCTTGATTTTCCCCTCTTCTCGGCGGACCCGCCCCCCCCCACCCATTTTTTGCTTTTATTCTTCCATCTGCAGCATAGATATAAATCGCCCGCCCGCGTCCTTTCAGACCGGCGGCCTGCCTAGGAACCATAAACTTTACACCAAGCGAAGGGGCGGGGTTTCTTAAGGCGCAGGCCCTGATCTTCGGAGGAGGTCAATTCCTAGTCAATTTCACCGCCCCTTTGCAAAAGGGCCATTGATGATCCTTCATTAATTAAAGGGAGGGGGTTTGAATAAATCT